GCCTGCAGGTGGTGGCCGTGGGTCCCTCAGCACTCGGCATCCACGGTGTGCACGGTGACAGCGGCCTGCAGGTGGTGGCTGTGGTGCAGGGCGGGGTGGTGCAGGCGGTAGTGGTGGAACTTGTGGCTCAGCAGCGCTGCGGTCTGCGGGGGCGTGTCCAGCTCCAGGTCCTCCTCGTGGGTGCCCACGTCCACGCCGGCAGACAGAGGGTCGTTATTGCAGGGGGGGTTCTCGCTGTCCTCCTGGGGGCTCATCGTGCTGTAGCCTGGGAATGAACAGCAGCAGTGAGCACAGCAAGGCTGGATGCTCAGAATTCCCAGGGCTGGCTGGGCACCCTTTGTGGAATCAACAAAGGGTGCTGAGAGAGGGAACAAAACTGTTTTCTTACTAGAACAAACCCCAACAGACTCATCCTCTCCTCTAAGTCTAAGTTCTAAGTCTACAACAGATCCCTTTCCCTGCTATTCAGAATTCCCAGGGCTGGCTGGGCACCTTTGTGGAATCACACGCAAGGTGCTTAGAAAGGGAGTAAAGCAATTTTCCTCATTAACAGAACAAACCCCAGCAAACTAATCTTCTCCTCTAAGTTATAAGTCTACAACAGATCCCTTTCCTGGCCACTCAGAATTCCCAGGGCTGTCTGGACACCTTCTTGGAATCACACAGGGTGCTTAAAGAGGGAGTAAAACAATTTTCTTAACAGAACAAACCAAACAAACTCATCCTCTCCTCTAAGTCCATACTGAATCCCTTTCCCTGCCATCATCTTTGGTTCAAGGCTTTGGGGACCTGTGGTTTGTGCTGCCCTAAACAGTAACAGCACCCGCGTGTTCAATAGTTTGTAAAAACAGAATTGCTGGCACTGATTTCAAACCAAAACATAAAAGATACCACCCTCAAAAGATCTGTTAAGATATAACCTGGATTTATCCAAACCAGCTGTTAACAACCAGACCAGGCTGCAGGGCAAACAACTCCCCCTCAGCACTTCTAAATGTAAAACCAAATGAAATTTAGAAGGACAAAGATCTTGCTTTAATTGGAAATAAATCCTTCTCAAAAAACAAGGACTAAAGGCTGAGGAAGCAGTGCTGCTCCTGAGCATCTCGCTCAGGTTTCCAGCTGGTGACACCTAAAAGAAGGGTGGTAAAAATAGCAGCTGAGTCCCCAAAGCTGCCTCCCATTTCCCATGCTCTGAGTCATGGCGTGGAGCTGGCATGGAGGAATTGGGGAAGAAGCCTGGGCAGCCCTTTGAAGAAGATGGAATTACAGAAACTAAAAATAGCAGTGCACATTCCAGATGGAGGTAGACAGCTCCCCTGCTAACCCAGGATGACTAAAAGATGGGAAGGATTTGCTGGGACTGCAAGAAAAGGAGCAAAGGGAGCATTAATCTGGCAAATCTGCCTCAGCACAGGTAATCTCACCCCAAATCCAGGGTAATTCCTCCTAGAGCAAGATTGTCTAGGAGACATCTGTTCATCCACGTTCCAAGGCTTTGGCCTTTGGGTTTCCTGTCCCAATTCCATTAGTGCAACCAGAGTCTTAGTGCTGGGCCAGGTCTGCTGGAAGGTCCCCAGCCTAGCAGAGCTGACAGCTTGCAGACTGCCGTGTCTAGCCCTCCTCCTCCTCCTCATTTCCTAATAAATTAAGCCTTCTCATGAGTCAACAGCATTACACCCTTCTAGCAGCTTTTCAGATTTGAGGAGATTTAGTCTAAGGGCAGGGGAGACATCCCAACCCCCTGAGCCTAATGGTGCCCAGCATTTGCTTGAAGGTGCTGGAAGATCACAGAATCCCAGAATGGTTTAGGTTGGAAGGGCCATTAAAGATGATCCCATCCCATCCCTGTCATGGCAGGGACACCTTCCACCATCCCAGGTTGCTCCAAACCCTGTCCAACCTGGCCTTGGGCACTGCCAGGGATCCAGGGGCAGCCACAGCTGCTCTGGGCAGAACAATTCCTTCCTAAACTCTGATCTAATCCCACTCCCTTTCAGTGTGAAGCCATTCCCCTTGTCCTGGCAATCCAGTTCCCTCAGGGGGAAGAACCTTCTCCTGATCTCCAGCCCAACCCTCCCCTGGCACAGCTCCTGTCCCTGTCACAGGGGCACAGNGCCTGCAGGTGGTGGCCGTGGGTCCCTCAGCACTCGGCATCCACGGTGTGCACGGTGACAGCGGCCTGCAGGTGGTGGCTGTGGTGCAGGGCGGGGTGGTGCAGGCGGTAGTGGTGGAACTTGTGGCTCAGCAGCGCTGCGGTCTGCGGGGGCGTGTCCAGCTCCAGGTCCTCCTCGTGGGTGCCCACGTCCACGCCGGCAGACAGAGGGTCGTTATTGCAGGGGGGGTTCTCGCTGTCCTCCTGGGGGCTCATCGTGCTGTAGCCTGGGAATGAACAGCAGCAGTGAGCACAGCAAGGCTGGATGCTCAGAATTCCCAGGGCTGGCTGGGCACCCTTTGTGGAATCAACAAAGGGTGCTGAGAGAGGGAACAAAACTGTTTTCTTACTAGAACAAACCCCAACAGACTCATCCTCTCCTCTAAGTCTAAGTTCTAAGTCTACAACAGATCCCTTTCCCTGCTATTCAGAATTCCCAGGGCTGGCTGGGCACCTTTGTGGAATCACACGCAAGGTGCTTAGAAAGGGAGTAAAGCAATTTTCCTCATTAACAGAACAAACCCCAGCAAACTAATCTTCTCCTCTAAGTTATAAGTCTACAACAGATCCCTTTCCTGGCCACTCAGAATTCCCAGGGCTGTCTGGACACCTTCTTGGAATCACACAGGGTGCTTAAAGAGGGAGTAAAACAATTTTCTTAACAGAACAAACCAAACAAACTCATCCTCTCCTCTAAGTCCATACTGAATCCCTTTCCCTGCCATCATCTTTGGTTCAAGGCTTTGGGGACCTGTGGTTTGTGCTGCCCTAAACAGTAACAGCACCCGCGTGTTCAATAGTTTGTAAAAACAGAATTGCTGGCACTGATTTCAAACCAAAACATAAAAGATACCACCCTCAAAAGATCTGTTAAGATATAACCTGGATTTATCCAAACCAGCTGTTAACAACCAGACCAGGCTGCAGGGCAAACAACTCCCCCTCAGCACTTCTAAATGTAAAACCAAATGAAATTTAGAAGGACAAAGATCTTGCTTTAATTGGAAATAAATCCTTCTCAAAAAACAAGGACTAAAGGCTGAGGAAGCAGTGCTGCTCCTGAGCATCTCGCTCAGGTTTCCAGCTGGTGACACCTAAAAGAAGGGTGGTAAAAATAGCAGCTGAGTCCCCAAAGCTGCCTCCCATTTCCCATGCTCTGAGTCATGGCGTGGAGCTGGCATGGAGGAATTGGGGAAGAAGCCTGGGCAGCCCTTTGAAGAAGATGGAATTACAGAAACTAAAAATAGCAGTGCACATTCCAGATGGAGGTAGACAGCTCCCCTGCTAACCCAGGATGACTAAAAGATGGGAAGGATTTGCTGGGACTGCAAGAAAAGGAGCAAAGGGAGCATTAATCTGGCAAATCTGCCTCAGCACAGGTAATCTCACCCCAAATCCAGGGTAATTCCTCCTAGAGCAAGATTGTCTAGGAGACATCTGTTCATCCACGTTCCAAGGCTTTGGCCTTTGGGTTTCCTGTCCCAATTCCATTAGTGCAACCAGAGTCTTAGTGCTGGGCCAGGTCTGCTGGAAGGTCCCCAGCCTAGCAGAGCTGACAGCTTGCAGACTGCCGTGTCTAGCCCTCCTCCTCCTCCTCATTTCCTAATAAATTAAGCCTTCTCATGAGTCAACAGCATTACACCCTTCTAGCAGCTTTTCAGATTTGAGGAGATTTAGTCTAAGGGCAGGGGAGACATCCCAACCCCCTGAGCCTAATGGTGCCCAGCATTTGCTTGAAGGTGCTGGAAGATCACAGAATCCCAGAATGGTTTAGGTTGGAAGGGCCATTAAAGATGATCCCATCCCATCCCTGTCATGGCAGGGACACCTTCCACCATCCCAGGTTGCTCCAAACCCTGTCCAACCTGGCCTTGGGCACTGCCAGGGATCCAGGGGCAGCCACAGCTGCTCTGGGCAGAACAATTCCTTCCTAAACTCTGATCTAATCCCACTCCCTTTCAGTGTGAAGCCATTCCCCTTGTCCTGGCAATCCAGTTCCCTCAGGGGGAAGAACCTTCTCCTGATCTCCAGCCCAACCCTCCCCTGGCACAGCTCCTGTCCCTGTCACAGGGGCACAG